ATTGTATTTTTTATATACAGATCTTTTAAATTAAATTTATGTAACTTTAATTTAATTATTTGATTTAACCTATCATCTTCGTTGATAGGGTAATGTTTTTGAAATAATTAATTTAATTCAAAGATAATTTATCCAATTTGGTTTAAAAACAAAAGGTGAGGGTGTGGGAGGGAGAGATAGCGCTTTGCCCCCTGGTTTTCGCGGGCCTCGTTCACTAGCGCGCGCAAAAGGTGGTAGCTAAGCTAGAATGCTAATAACGGATCTATAGCGACAAGGAGGGACTGGAGGCTTGCAGTAGCGGTGTCCGAAGCGATCAGTACAGAGTATACAGGTATTCATAGTAATATATCAGTAATATAACTGTTAAATGCCATTTTCATTAAGCCTTTTATTTCTTACTGAACACACTATGCTATGCTATTATACGGTTAACCTGGGTGAAACCGATTGAGGCAGTGGAGAAGAAAAAAAAAGTATGCACCAGCAATGGCAGAGGAGGGGAAGCTAAAGTTGGATATTATGCTTTCTGTCAAATAAAAATAACTTTTACAGATTTCTAGTGAAGATTTAACTATGTAACAATAAAATATCTGCTTATCATAGGACAAGACAAAATGGGATATGTGTGTTTTAAATGTGGGATGTCTTTAGGACATAAGGATTTTTTTTTTCTCATCTAAGAGTAATTCATAATACATATTCAACTTCAAGATATTTCCAGTGTGCTCAAAGTGGATGCAAACGTACATTTAATCATATGAGATCATTTAGGCGACATCTACTAGGGCATGCTATTGAGTTTGACACAGAAATAAGAGAAACTAGTTATGTTGGACATTGTGAAAGAACAACAAGTCCTCATTTGAGCACCATATGCAATTTAGAAAGTGATGAGGCAACATTGGAACACTGGGATGATTTGGAGGATGTGAGCATAAAAGACAGAGTTGCACTCTTCTTAGCTAGATTGAAGGCCAAATCCTCACAGACCTTAAGTGGAATCAGAGATGTTGTTGAAAACACATCTTGTCTGATCAGTGATCTAGTTGGCAACCTAAAGAGAAAAACTGCTGCATTCTTAAAAGAGACTGGACAGACTGAAACTCCAAAAGCTGAGAAACTTTTAGAGGAGTTTACTTCAGCTTCTGAACCATTTAGAGGATTTGAATCAGAATACAGACAAATGAAGCATTTCACCCAGTCAGGGTACTTCATACAACCTGAAGCAATTCCTTTTCCTGGCTTTTCATATATGCAGGGAATTGATGGAGAGACAGGGAGAGTGAAACAAGTAGCAGTACGAGACACTTTTCAGTATGTTCCTCTCAAATCTATGTTAAAAGTCATTCTTGAAAGTTTGAAATTATTGTGGAGAGGATTATCATCATTGACATTACAATGGTGAGTGTAACTATGGGTTCATCAACTTTAAATGATTATCATTAACATTGTCTGTCTTGATTGTGTGAATACTTTTTTATACAATGTTTATATATAATTAACATAATTTCTATCATTTTGCAGTTTCAAACTTTAAATTTACTCTGGGGGTTAATATTTCTTATATTTGTATTGTAAAGACATCTAGCCCTAAAACAACTGAAGATGCTGATCCTACACCACATGCTGAATTAGAGAGTGGAGTTTCTTCTGTTGGAAGAGCAGCATTTGTAAGTTAAGCTGCACAATCAACCTTTCCTACATAACATATTGACATCCATTCTTACTAATTAAAATTAAAAATGACACATCTCATCTTTTCTTAAATTTCTAAGAATATTAAACTGCAGCTAAATAACAGCTATTTTATTTTTCACATTAACTATTTATCTGTAGAACATCCGTGAGACCTGTGGTTATCAGTCTTGATGGAAATCAGCATATATCCATTCGTGAAAGACGGTGCATGGTCAGAACACTTGTGTCACACCTGATGGATCAATATGGAGAAAAGTGAGTATTTCTTCTAAAACTAGATCAATTCGGTTGTTTTTTGTGACATTTTGCTCTTGGTGAGAACATTAACGACATTGTGCTGTGCTCACCTAAGTAACATTTCTCCAGTAAGAAGTCTTAAAGTATGTGTTGGGCTAATAAAAACTGGATTTTTTGGAAATTGTTTGTGTTTTAAGGTTTCTGCTCTATGTTTTCATCTTACAATAACTAATTAAAATAAAATATTTTACTTGCCTGTCTTACTGAATGTAATTTTTTTTTTCCAGCCCATCTTCAGACACTAAAGCAATTCTGGCATCTTCAATTGTGGACCAGTTTCCATGTTTAAGAGACAGCCATGGCACAGGATATGTAAGTTTTCACACTTCAGAGAACTAGCACACAAGTACTTCAACAACTTGCACAATGGTTAGCATTAAATATCATTGTAACTATGGTGTTTGAGCTTTGAGTTGTAGGTTTAATAAAAATTTGGACATTAAAACAGAAAGGCTAACATTTAACTTTTATATTTATTTTGTTAAAAATGTTCAGGACGCCTGGTTTACCTGCGGAAGACAACACAGGCCAGCAACTGGCTTTCTGGAGGAGCGTCTCCGTAATGTAAGGAAAAGGCATCAACCAAGGAAGAAGATGCTTTCAGCCCCAGAAGCTCCACCAAAAAGATTAAGTTTGCCTGGTACTAGCACATGGACTTTTTCCAAGCCCCTATTGTTTTGAGCAGCAATCTAAGCTCTTATCATTGCTGTGAATTACCTCACATTTTTTTCTAATTTGTGTAATACTTTTTTCCCCACAGAACCAACCATCAGTGCTGAGCGTGCCATCCAGATGACAGAATGGCTAAAAAATAACTTCTGGCCCGCAGACCAGGTTGTCCAATACATGCGGGAAACTGCAGTATATCGCGCAGGATGGATCCGCTCAAGTGGGACAATCCCAATGCAGCAGATTTTTGCAGAGTTCCCATGTTTGTTGGACACACCAGGGATGGTGAGGTTATACCTCATATTGAGATCAGTTAAATGTTAAACAATAAACTGCAATACCATGTGTAAATGTACAATTACAATCAAACTCAAAATGTCAAACTACCCAGAACATAAATTTGTAGCACCCATGAAAGGTTGAATGTAATAGTTCATTTCACTTTTACATTTGATTTGTATTTTTGTCTTTTCTGATTGTTAGATTTTGCAGGACTTTGCCGTTTTATATCCACAGTCTTGTGGAAAACTGACAGAGAACTGGAACACCTTGTTCTCATCAAAGGTCATTCGCATGGGGAAGAAGGAGGAGAGCGGTCTTCTGCCTGAGATTGAGTTGCTTCCACAAGGTATTGAAGCTCAAAAGGAACATTTTCTGAACTAATTTTTTTCTCCTGTGGCTCTTTTTTGATTGTGTAGCATTTTAATCTGAGTTTTTCTTTGACAGACAAACAAGGTGACGTGGCACTGCAGCTGCTGCCAAAACTCCTCCCTGCTGTTCCCTACAGAGTTGGGCGAAAGGTGGTCAGACCCAGCAACCTTGAAGTCCAGCAAGCCTTCATTGATGTCCAGCCAGTAAGTCTATCTTCATGTCAGAATGAGTTCTTTGCTGTGTAAATGTAGTTGAAACCAGAAAAAATTGTTTTTTCTGTTTCTGAAGTTTAAAACAAATATGCTTTTTTTTCCCTCACTGTTCTCCCTGTCATTATCTGGAATTTACCAAGTCCTAATTGACATGAAATGAGAATTTTAATGTCATATAACACGAGACAGCGTTGACCAAAAATATATTTTTATATAGTATATGTAAACTTCAAACGCAAGGGTCTTTTGATAATGTATCAAACAAAAATCATATAAGAATTAGTCAAAAATTATTAGTGGGGAATGTTCCTCCTTACATTTAAATGACTAATGGCTTCCTTTCTGCTTTTTCCACACACCAGATTGGGACAAATATGATGGAATATCTTGGAACAGCAACAGAGCATCCACGTGTTCTCATGCTTGGGGACAGGTATTGTTGTTCCCAAGCATTTGTCGTCATAAATGGAACTGCTTTGGAATATCCATCTCTTTTGGGGGCTGTTGACGGCTGTTTCAAATTGTTCTTCGTTTTTGATGTGAGTTATCCGAAGTCGTGTATCCAGATTTGGGATTTTCTCCAAACTGTGATATATGAAATCCCAGGAAACGAGTCACCCCCGATAAAATTAATGAGGGCACAGTTGGAGGCCATGGAAGAATAAATGCAATTCTTCAATAACCCTTAAATAAGTTTTAAATGTTCTGATTGAAAAACCTTCTTTGTTACTATGTTGCTATTTTTTTTTACATTTCCTTCAAACTCTTTTGGTGAAAATATTTCTTTGTGTACACCAATAAAGTTAAAAAAGGGTGCAGATTTAATCAATTGTTTTTAACATTTTAACACAAGCTTATGTTTGCCAGACTGACAAGATGATGTAGCCCTGCAGCTGCTGCCAGTTCTCCTCCCTGCTCCACCTTACACATTTGGGAGAAGAGTTTCAGACCCATCAACCTGGAAGTTCAGATGGTTTCATTGATATCCAACCTGTAAGTCAACATTCATCTCTGAATCATGCTCCAATTGTTTGCTGTTTAAATAAGTGCATTACTAATAGCCTGTTTTTTCTGTCTTCTCTCTCCATCAGATTGGGACAAACCTGGTGGCGCATCTACAAAATGTGACAACCCGTATGTCCTCATGCAAGGAGAAGGGCAAAAATGCTAAAGTGTCATTAAAAATGCCCCTTGTTTAAAGGCTGAAAGTTTTACTTGTAGTTTGCTTTAAAACAGACTTTTTACATGAATTGTTTTCTAATGTGTAGTAACAGATACTTCTGGAGTTGTAACCAAATGAGTTAAAGTGATTTAACTATATACTTTTGAAACAACTTATGTTTTGTAATTTTTGTAAATGAAATCTGCTGGCTCTATATATGTATCACGTGGAAATAAAAGAGGCTTTAAATTCAGATTGTTTTTAATCCTGTTTTTATATAGTGAAATTTAAAATTATTATTTTTTTACCCAACTATAGTGGTATAATAACCCAGGGGTTCCCAAAGTCGTTCCTCGAAGGACGGTATCCTGCACGTTTTAGTTCTCTCCATGGTGGTAGTAATCTTCTCAGCAAGTCAATGTTCTTCTTAGGCTTCTAACGAGCCATCATTTGATCCAGGTGCGTTAAACCAGGGAGAGAACTAAAACCCGCAGGTTGCCGGCCCTCGAGGACCGACTTTGGACACCCCTGTAATAACCCTTATGTTGGGTTATGAGTTTCAACCCAATTTTGGGTCAATTTAACCCAACCTTTGGTTAGTTGCCATAACCCAACAATGTACTGGGTTAGGGTTATTGATCTATTTGTTTAATTTCTTACATCATCCGATTATTTCACATAACATTTCATATTATAAATGAAATATTCCACCGGTGGAACTAGTAGTTGTTTTAATCAATATTAAGGAATTGTTGACTTAAACAAGCTTCTATATCTTGCTCAAAAGTTGCTTATTAATCAGTTTAGTCTTATTTTAAGTGTACTAAGATATTTTCACTAGAAACTGGACAAAAAAAAAAATACTTGGTAAAAGTTTGCCTTCAAATGATATAAATTCAACTTTACTGATCCCAAAGGGAAATTAAATGTTGTTATAACTCATATAGATTTGATTAATTAATACATTACCCAAACCATGAATTTCAGTAATTAAATTCAAACTAATCAAACTCAATTTCGTAGAATGTAATCCTAAATAGTAACTAATTAAAATTGATTTTAAACACAGAAATAGTCTAATTATGGTAAGGCTGAACAATATTACAATATCATGAAATAAGCGTCTTTATCAGTCTGTATCAATACTTTTTTATTAGTTTTTCTGTTTTAAATATTTGGAATACTTTCCTGTTTTATCCATAGTTTTCACACCACAATGTTTTTATGAGGAATGTAACTTCAAATTACAGCTCAAAATCACCTCCCATAGACAGACAGTAAAGGCATATCATACATTTTCTGACTCCTTAGAGTCTGTTGAGTAATTTAGTTGTTAACTCTTGTGTCCCTGATGTCCCTGGACACCACTGGGATAAAACAAATGTATCTAGTTTGGTCAAAAGGTGTGGAAAAATGTGTATTATTTTTGGTTTAACGAGCTCTAGCGACCTCTGTGTTGGTCAGAGAAATTCAAAACCTGGTTTAAATGAAAGCCAAGAGTGTCCCCTTTAAGAATATACCAAATACTATATTATAAACCTTTGACAAATGCCCATACCATGAGCCTAAACCAGACATACACCAGTCTGAAAAAACTGTATTTTTCCAAAGGGGTTGTTTACTTTATGAGCTGATAACTTTTCGAAGGGCTAACATACCAAAATATTAACTATCTTTTCAAAAATTATCGATAGACTTTGCCATCCTGAAATGGACAAAAATGTCAAATTTTGGCCTCTGGGAACAGAAAGAACAAAGAGAACAGAGCTGCATATTCATAACCATTGCAGAAGTCACAGAGCGAGTAGAAGGACTGTCTCCTAAGAGTTTGAATGCAAAAGCTTTTCAAGATAAAAAGGCAATTTCTAACAAAGAAAAAAAGTTAGACATTGAGCAGCTTTTGGATTTGTCTAGACCACATAAACTTTAGCTACAGATACACAGAAGCCCCAAGGCATCTTGAAAGAAGTCAACATGTTGATTGAAAGAAAAAACTTCATAAAAGAACATGAGGATCTGAAGCTTGAAATTGAAAAGCTTCTTCAGAAAAACGACAAGAACTTTAAAAAACTGTTTGAAGAAAACAGAAGTTTAAAGGAGAATAACACCACCATGGAGCAAATAGATGCCATCTTGGAGCAGAGAAGCACCGCCTTGGAGCAAACAGACGCCATCTTGGAGCAGGATAACACTGCCGTAGAGCAGAGAAACATCGCCTTGGAGCAGAGAGGCACCACCCTGGAGCGGAACAACAACATCTTGGAGCAGGAAAACATCAAACTGGAAGAGGATAAAACCTCCTGCTGGAGAAAAACAACATCTTGGAAGAGGAAAACAACGCTCTGAAGCTGACTCGCATCGTCCTGCAGCACAGAAGCGTCGCCTCCGAGAAGGAAAGAAAAGTCTTGGAGCATATAAATAACAACCTGCAGCTTGAAGTGGATCAGCTGAGCCAAAGGCTGAGGGACACAGAGGAAAATGAGGATTTATCTGAAGAGGAAACCGATGAAGACAACCAGCAGTTTTCAGACCAGCCTCAGGAGCAGCCACCTATATTCAGACGTGTGGTCAGAGGTTTCACCAGGACACTTGTGAGAATGTGATGGGGTGATGGCGGAAGAGCTAATTGCTTGAAAGATGTTGGCAGGAGAGCTTGAGGCCAGCAGGACTGCGGTGCTATGGGAACTTGACGTCATCGAACTCAGGTCTCCTTCGTTACCAGACAATCGGACTCTAATCTCCTTTGTCGCCAGGTCATCAGACACTTATTTATACTATGAACTCTAGTTTCATTTTTGTTTTAGTTAGGCCTCCACTGACTAGAAACAGTCGGTCTCACCTCGACGCATGGCTCTGGTTCTGGAACCAGTCTCCTTGAGAGGGGCTGGACATACTTCCACTCTGGAGTTGCCCATGGTGAGAGGCACCAGACAGGAGTGGGCATACTGGTTGCCTCCCATCTTGGCGCCTGTACATTGGGGTTTATCATGGTGAACGAGAGGGTCGTCGCAGGTCCTGTAGGTTTGACCTCCAGGGCTTCGTTGTGGGTCCTGTTGGTTTCCTGGCCTGCCTCCAGGGCTTCATAGCACGTCCCGCTGGTCTCCGGGCTGACCGCCAGGGCTTCATAGTGAGTCCTGTCGGTCTCCCGGCTGACCTCCAGATAGGGTTGCCACCTTTCAGAAATTAAAATAAGGGACGCTCCCCACGGCGCAGGGGACTCTCATGTGGTGTCCACTGCAGTGATAGACATTATTTTACAGCAGTGTTTTTTGTTTTTAAAAAGTGATCTGTAGAGCAGTCATTCATGCACAGTTGGCTAGAGTATCCCAAAATTGTACTCCAGTCACAGTAGTATACCTTAAAAACACGTTTAATTAAGCAAGTGTAAAAAGTATTTGGTAAACTACTCAAGTACTGAGTAACTGATCATATCACCTGATTTAATATTCAAAATGCATTCTGGTACTGTAAAGAATATTACTAAAATATTTATAGAAAAAGAGTTGGGTTTGGAGGCTGGTTCTAGACCAAATTTACCACAGGGGCCAGGATAGTTAGTGTTTTTCCATGGTGACACTTGAAAAAGAATGAAAAAAAACAGAATAATATTTCATCATTTGATATAATAAGTGAGCCAAAGAGCCACTTGTGTCTTCAGAGATTAAGGTTGCAGATCCCTGGTAGATGTAAAGTATGAAGTATAAAGTATAAAGTAGCTGCTGTATAGAAATACAGCAGCTAAAAGTGCAGCACTATAATTTTTAATTTGTTGTTAAAGTAAAATTGTGAAGGTTAAAAAAAAAACGCTCCACCACTGAGCATTAACATAAGACATTTATTTAGTATAACTTCTTTGGTACTCCGTTGGCCCCCATCTAGAACCGCCCAAGGCTACAGGTCTGTGTCTGGTGCATTAATAATTCATTAAATGACCACTGAACAATTAATTAATAAAATATATCAATATTTCAAAATAAAACCTTCAGAAAGCCTTAACAAACATTTTAATGTAGGAAATATTTATGTATTTAGCATTAATCTATTTGTATGACTTGTTCTTTAAATGACCTGTATTATTTTGGCTGATGATATTATATAAAATAAGCATTAAATAAGCAAATAATCAAACCAGTAAAAGCACAATAAGAAACTTACATAGCAAAATGTTCTGTAACATATCAGCCTCAGGAGATCATTGAGGGATGAAGAGACGCTGATTTCTGGTTCTTTAGGTTCTGATGGGTCTGCAGTTCCTCTCCTGATCCATTCATACAGCAGCACACTGCGCCACGATGGAAACTTTTTTTTTAAATTGCCTGTGTTCATTCTCACTAACATTATTCAGTCTAGGATTTGCGTCTTCCCTCGCACGTCCGTATCTTTATGAGAGGTTTTGCTTCTAAGGACAGTCGAGAATCGGGTCAAGGACGTTTCAAAAAGACGCGGGTTGACAGCACATCACCGGGCTGTGTAGTGTCCGTCTCTAGGCAGCCGTGACAACAG